AGAAGCATTCAGTCAGCCCTGGAGACCTCGGCTTTGATAGACGTCTGATTTGGGGCACAGCTTAGTGGGACTGTATCCTCAGGCTATAGGATCTTACACCACTTCCAGGTAGACAGTGTCAGAAAATCAAAGGAGAGAACTGACTTCCAAACATTGTCCTCTGACCTACACAGACACACACAGACACAAACACACACACACACACACACACACACACACACACACACACACACACACACCAGGGCATGTGCCCCCAACCCAAACAAATAAAGTGTAAGTTTTAAAAGTTTTCATTATATAATGTTACATATATAACAGTGTCTGTTATACACTGATGTATAAAGAAAAGTCAGCACTCTATATCCTTATCTTCTACATCCATTGATTCAAGGAACCATGCATGGATCAGCATGCTTCCAAAAACATGTGATATAAAAAACATGTACAATGCCCTTGTTGCTCCCTCCAAACAATATAGATGATTTATAGATTTATCTTTACATTACAGTAGATATTAGAAGTCAGAGATGGCTTCAAGTCTACATATGTAGATGATATACAAATATGACACCAGCTTAATTAGGGGAATGAGCATCTGCAAATTTTGATGAGCTTGGAGTCTTGAAACCAACTCCCTCTGGGTACCAAGAGCAGCAGGAGAACCCATTTCTTCACATGTGGCTTCAGAATGAGCATTTCCTGTACCTTTACACCATCTGTGCAGTTCATGCTGCCTTCTAAAGTTATATTTTTGTACTAATCATCCCATTGTTTTGATACACATATACTTCCAAACAACTTATCTTATTTCCCAATTCTTGGATCTTTTATAAGATAAATTCTTGGGTCTTTTGTATACACTCCCTGTGACATACTTTTTCTCCCTCTTCAATGTTGTTTTTAGGCCACTCCATGCTAATCAAGCTGATGAGTAGCTGTAACTCATGAAACTATAAATAGATTGTAATCTCACTTTAACAGTGTGGCAAACAGGGGTCTGATGTGTGCTTCAGGTACATGCACATAGGCAGTTCTTTAATCTGGTCCCAGGAGTGGAATTTCATGCTTGGCTTTTTAACATCCCATTTTTCTTAATCTTCATTCCATTTTTAGTAATTCTTAATCATTTTTTACTGGACATACATTATCTTAACAAGTGTATGCATACACCTCTGTCCCTATTGTTAAACATCTAGTCTTTTCTTCCATTTTGGGGAACTTTGCACACAAGTCTGGAAAAAAAATGCTTGTGTAGAAGTCTCTGCTTTTTTATGTCCTGAGAAAAATTTCTTTTTGTCAAGACCAACTTACCAATTGAACCAATTTACATTCCACAGGAGGATTTTTATTGTTTAAAAATATGAAACAATCCCCATACAAGCAGTTATGAATCCTTTTGAGAGTATAATTAAAGGTATTTTGCCCTAAGGGAAAAAAACAAAACAAAAATTAAACAAAACCTAGATCTATAACAATTTGAAGGGTTTCTCAAAATATCTGAAGACTTTATGTTGATGTTGTTATTGAATAAGTAATATTATACTTTTAGTCCATCTGTGTGGCTATAATAAAATACCCAACGCAGAGTACTTTATAAAGAAAATTTTTATTTAGCTCACATTTCAGGAAACTCAAGAGCTTGGATGACACGATTGCTCACTTCTAGGGAAGGCCTCATAGTAGCTGGCATTAAAAAGGGTGGGAACACATTCAAGAGTGGCCAGTAGCACACATAGAGAAAGGATAGGACTCACCTAGCAAGCTGATCTCTTGGTACCTCCCTGTGAGAGTAAGTACACACCCCATAACAAAAACATCACTACCTCTTAGGACCTGATCACTTCCCATTAAGTCCCATCTCTTAAAGGATTCCACCACCCCCATACAGCTATCATGGGGGCAGAAGACGTACAAAAATTCCTAGGTAGACAAACACTATCTGAACTCTAGCATCCTACACATTGCATGTAATATTACCATACTTTGCCTGGTAAGTTCATCGACCAATTCTGCCTGGTATCAAGTGCCATCTATACTAAACCACCACATAGGAAGAGTTCATGAAGTATCAGCAATATTGCAGACACAGGAGATAGAAGAAAAATCCCTGGTTGTAAGAAAAATGAAGCTACTGAGGGAGGCAGAAACAGAAAGCCCTTTTCAATAACATGTGCTGCTAGACGTGTTCATATTGTTTAAAATATTAAAAATTATAAGCTTTCTTTACCAAAGGGCTGTGAAGAGTGAACATTATCAGGATGTTATAGGTAGGGGAAACAGTACTGGCAAAAGAAAAAGTCTACAAGCTGAATATGTATAGGAAATCATACATGTGTTGAAAGTGGTAGAATTTGAATGGTAATGAGTGTGGGGGAAGGTTTGAGGTCCTTATTTGGGGCAGAAATTAAAATATCAAGACACATGATTTTAGCAGTTGATCTGACAGCAGAAAGGAAACCACAAAAATTCTCCTCCCAAACATTTTATTACAGAGTTGCTATTGTACACACAGCATACAATTTGCCCTTTTTTTTTCTGTAACTGTGTGAAGTGCTAGTACTCAATTCAGCAGCACACAGGGTTTTTGTTTACTCTCTCTCTCTCTCTCTCTCTCTCTCTCTCTCTCTCTCTCTCTCTCTCTCTCTCTCTCAGAGCTTTGGAGCTGGGATTAGAACAGTTCTTGAGGATACATGTACACATATGTATTTGGGAGTGTGTGTGGAGGCCCAGAGGTTTGTATCAGATGTCTCCCTCCAGTTTTGGCATTCTTTGAGACAGGGTCTCTTACTGATCCTGTAGCTCACTGATTTGGTTGTATCAACTGATCAGAGAGCTATAGGGATCTGCACATCTCTGATTCCACAACACTGGTATCACAGACATACACTGCCATATGTGGCCCTCTATGTGAATTCTGGGGCTCTGAACCCAAGTTCTCATGCATGTACTACAAATACCGATGGAATAATCCCCAGCCCTGGCACATGAGTTTGAAAATTACTTATTAATGTAATCAAGTGCATTTTCAAAAATACATTTTGGCATTGTCCAATAGCTTTCATTTTATAAATAAATGAACCTGGAAAACATTTACTGTAATTTTTTTCATAAAATGGCCTTTAAAGCTAAAAGATTGACTTACAGGTAAAACTGATTTTAACATTGACATAGACTTGCTTTTCAGCCTGTTGTTCACATTCCTAACACTATCAACTTACATAAAATTTTTAAAAATTAAAATTGCTTTTAATGAGTGGGTAGTCATGCGTGCTACATGCAGTTGGAGTCAGAAGACAACTCTGTGGAGTCAGTTCTCTCTTCCATCTTCACTGGGGTTCTAGTGACTTAACTCATATCTACAGGTTTGTTCAATAAGCACATCTACCAGCTGAGCCATCTCACCAGTCCTAGCTTAATTTTGAAGATCTAACTAAGCAAGGCTTAGAGTCTGGTGTGTATAAGGCCCAGGGCCTGATGCCCAGCACCATAAGAAAAATTAATAAGACAAAACTAATTACAATGGCTTTATTTACAATTGCCTTCACAGTTTAATTATAGTAGAGCATTTGATTTTTTGGAACATGTCTTACTTTCCTGCAGAAAATTAATATAGTTGTGATAATGCAATGGAGATGTCTTTGAAGACTTTCACCATAAGCATAAAAATACTTTATAGTTTTAATGATATTTGTTCTAGTGTGCTGAATTTATATAATTTTTTTCTCCTAAATACTTAATTTGTTGCTGGGCGGTAGTGGCACATGCCTTTAATCCTAGCACTTGGGAGGCAAAGGCAGGGGAATCTCTGTGAGTTCAAGACCAGCTTGGTCTATAAGAGCTAGTTCCAGGACAGCCTCCAAAGCCACAGAGAAACCCTGTCTTGAAAAACCCAAAACTTAATTTGTTTCGCTTGTTGGCATAATTATTCTGTTCCATTAAAATACCTATTTTATACTCATCAAACAAATATATAATGTTAAATACTTAAGATCTGATTGTAAAGTTAAGAACAAGAAACTATGTTTTAAAATTCCAGCCTAAGGCGGATCTCTGTGAGTTCGAGACCAGCCTGGTCTACAAGAGCTAGTTCCAGGACAGCCTCCAAAGCCACAGAGAAACCTTGTCTCAAAAAACCTAAATAAATAAATAAATAAATAAAATTCCAGCCTAATAACTGAAAATATAATTTCTTTTGAAGTTAGTCTCTTGTAGCCTAGCCTGAACTAGAATTCACTATACAGGCAGGATGACCCTGAACTCCTGATCCTCCTGCCTTTACCTTGAGTGCTGGGATCACAGGTGTGAGCTATTATGAGCAGTTGAGGTAGAATAAATTGATTCAAGGTTATAAAGTTCTCAGTATGAAGAAATGACAGACTTCTTGCAGCCTCTTTTCAAAACATCCCTTGGATGTTTAATGGGATAAGCAGACTGTGTCTCATTAAACATGGTTTAACTGTCAAAACAGCCTCTTTAAGGGAACCTTGAAATAACAGACAGATGCACTCTTGTTAGGGGTTACCTAATAAATATAGAATGTGTTCACTTCCAGAGTTCAGAAAGTCTTCCTATGTGTAAGTCAGAAATTCAAAGGAACTCAATCTCAATACAATCGATAGAAATCCCAGGGAATGGCACAGAAGACAGAAAACAGCATAAACAAAAATAGATTGGTATTGTTTGTTTATTTGAAGTGCTGGGGATGGAACCTGGACACTCGTGCATAGTATGCAAGTGACCTACAACTAAGCCCCATCCCTAGCCTATTGATATATTTTAATATATATTTTCATCTCTGGTATGAATTTGCTTTAAGAGAAGGAACTGTCCCATGTGGTATCTTCTTCCCATGGGGTCAGACACTCCTTTAATGAACTTAAGTAAAAGTTGGTCAGGATATGAAAGATTCAAAGACTTCCATGAAGTGAGCTGAGAAGTGATCTTCAGCACTTACCTGAAGACTTATAAAATCTATTACTACATAAAAAGTGAAACAAATCTACAATAGGTACAAATTATATACATTTATTAATAATTTTAAATAACACTCTTGTATAAATTCTTTCATATATTCAAATCATAAACAAATTTAGAAATGCATCATGAAACCTAGTACAGTACATATATGAGACATGTTTTTAAATTTTGGGTTAGATTTTAGTGACATAAATACAAGTTTAATGTTTTAGAAACATTCCCTAATTGGTTAGGCTGAAATTAAAGAGTACAGAGTGCTTGTGCCTAGCATTAAAAGTTGACTAGAAGTCACTTAACTTTGGGTTAGCTTGAATCTGAAGCTCTGGGCTCACTCCAGGGCTGCGGTTTCTGCATATGCATAAGTAATAAGGAAGATCCCCAATGCCTTTGAAAACTTATCATTCAAACCACTGACATTTTAATGATCCATAACTTTAGCCATTTGATATTATTTGACTTCTTCAGACTGATAACCATTTTTCTTGCTTCTCCCCATGGTACAGTCTTTGGCTCAGAGTGAAAGGGAAAGATGAATTAGCCTTCTATCACCTCCCCCAACCCTGAACATAGACACCAAACCCATTTCAGCTCCTAAAGCACTTGCTGTCAAAAGTAGCAACAGACTAAAGGGTTTTTGTTTTGTTTTGTGGTGTGTGTGTGTGTGTGTGTGTGTGTGTGTGTGTGTGTGTGTGTGTGTGTGTGTATGTACATGTATGCACAAGCAAACCTGGATGAGACTTCTGTTGCTCTAATGATTGCATTGGGTTCTTTTAACTCATTCTGAATATTTTTTCAGAGAGCTTTCCTTGAGAAATACAGAAACTCAACTCCTATCCACATAGTACTTCAAAATATAAGAAGCCAGGGACAGTCATTAGAATCAATCTTTATGTTTACAAGCATAAAAAATTTAAAAAGTATAGGATCAGTAATCAAGCTCTGTCTCTCATCTTTCAAAACACAACATCTTGATGATCAGATAAGTCCAATTAACTGGCAGATCAGTATTGCTTTGATGATTAATGGTTCTGGAAATATTGGAACTAGAGAATAGCAGTATGATTTGGGACTTAGATAATCTTGTTAAGAAAAAACAAAACAAAAACCCTATCCTCCTAGACCAGGTCTGCCCTGTTGCCCTCTCTTAAAATCCAAATATCCATTGGAAAAATAATGCACTGAGTCCACAGAATATTCAAATAAGAGATTTTACTATCCTTTTGCCTTTTCTATAATTAGAAAGACTGTAAATAAGAGAGTACTGGGAAGTAGTGTGGAGGGCAGTAGTGATAGGGAGGTCAAAGACATGTTTGACACTGACTACAACATCCACCTATCAGAAATGCATAGGGCCTACTAAGGTGAGCTAATGAAGATGCAAGTAAGCATCAGTTCATTCATAGAAGTGATGATTATTTCTCAGAAAGGTTCACATAGGTATTATATTTTAGAAAGAACATGTTATTAATACTTAGACAAACATTGTTCAAACACTAGACTTTCCAGAGGATGCCGGGGCTGGATGGTGATGTCTCCAGAGAATGAAAACCCTGAATTGTATTTTACAATGTTTTTCTGCTCTAAGTTCAAGAGAGGATTGCTTCATGGTTGATCTTTAGAGGAAAGTTATTACTACAAGCAGAGTGCTGGGGTCACTAATAATGTTATTTAAGGCTATACTTTGTGAAAAATTAACACGACCTAGAATCCATACTTGATAAACATTTTTGTGGTTTAATTTCTGTGTTATCTTTTAAAATCTGTTTGAAGGATTCTATTCAGCTGGAATCCTGACTATTAGGTTCTTAGTCTCCTACAAACATTTCTTCTTTATTTATTGGGTAAACATCTGTTTGGTTTTTATCTCTTTACCTTTATTTTTGGCAGCAGATGGAGTATCAGGAACGCAATCACTGTGCACAATGCTTTGGAATTGTGTGATGTGCAGTTGATACACACCTGTGGGATAACTGCTAGGGAAAGCAACCAATCACCTCCCATTACACGAATTCATTCATTTTAATGAACTATAATTGGCAGTTTATTAATTCTCATCATTAATTCTCACTTTAGATAGAAATCCTCATGTGTTCTTTCCACAAAGTCATCTGTAGCTATGTGGCCCTGAATTGTGCCTGAAAGTCACATAAATCACACACACACACACACACACAAAATCTTCATTCCAGCCTTCTAGGGCCCGTGGCTAGTAGAATTTTTATGTTTTCATATAGCCAAATGACTATACTATAGAGGTGAGAATTAATTCCAAGCATAAAAATGATGTGTGTTGTATAGCCCTGAATGATTTAGCCTCTCTGTGCCTCAGTTTCTTCATTTATAAAATGGGTACAAGACTACTTCCTTAGGAGGCTATGGTGAGGATCAAAGAACACACATGGGGTTTTGTAAATGACAAAGAACAATAAAAATACTGATCTACTCTGTAATTCTTGGATTAAACCCATAGACTCCTGCTAGATGAGCAATCAGCCACATACAAATTGTTTCAGTACAATGAGATGTAATGTTTACTTTAATAAAGACAGCCACATATGCAGAGCACCCTCAGGTTACCTACGGATCCTCTAGTCTACAGTCATTTCCAAACCCTGAGAAAAAGATGGGGGTCTCCTACAGAGGATAAACAAACTTCTCTGAGGAAGTTAAGTCTGAGTTTCCTAGGTCTAGTCTTTGTTTTGTTTTTCCCTAACCAAGTCATAGCCTGGGCCATCTTTCTTGACTTGCTTAATCCACAACCTGTTGATGCATAACAGATGAAAGCAGGATTACTTGGCCTCAGGGGAAAATGGCATCAAAATGCAAGGACTAAATGCACATTCAATCAGAGTAACCCTCTGCTCAGACAAGAAGATGGATGAATTCTAGCACTGAAGAAGCCAAACATACCTCATGATTCGTGGGTGACAGGTTATGCTCAAATGCCAGAGGCCTTTATTTTGGAGGTTATGGGAGGCACATAATATTTCATGGGCATAAAAATGAGGGGCCCCAAGTAATGCGATGGCTTTTCTTTTTTAATTTAAAATTTCTATCCTTTGGAAGACTGTCTTTTACATTCAGGAAAGAAGTCTTTTTTCTGAGGATGTTTACACTGAGTAATGTAAAACACACAGAGTGGCTAATTAGGTGAATGTCTTGAGAATGCAGCCTGTGTCCCAGTTTAATAATTACAGACTTCAAATCTATTGCTTGAATCTATGGTAAGTCAAAAAGCATATGACTCTAGGTTTAGAGAGGAAAGGTTAGAAACATTTGACCTCTTATTAATTTCAACAGTGTCCAAATAGGGACTAAAAATGAATGAAGCTCACCAGAGTCCCAGCTCTAGCAATATTGCCACCTATTTTACAGTATTTTAACCAATTTCCATATCTTCTTTTTACAACACCATTAACTGCTATACAAATAAAGTCTAGATGATAAAATAGGACATGATCTTTTTACAAATAGATACAAGTACAATGTTGAGCAGATATGCTACATTAACTATGTACACCTTGTTTCTTTAGAGGCAGGAAACCCACCTCCCCCCCCAGGAGGACCATCAACTTTCTGCTCTCTGGTGCTGCACCCGCCGTCACCATAAAGGCTTATCTTGTGCTTTAATCCCATCCTTGAAGGAGACTCGTGGGAGGAAAGCCAAGCCCTTCTACAGATCCTCTTGGGACTTTTCTGCCCTTAGTCTATACAGAGCCAATTCGTTTAGTGTGGGTATATCCTAGAAACCAGCTTGTCCTCAGTTTTAGCTTTCAGTACAGTAAAATGAACATGAACATAATCCCTGCCTCTCTTTTAAAAATATGTTTCCAAAATGGAGATGAAGTCTTCTATCATTCTTCCCCCTTCACATCAACATTCTGTCACAGCTGGTGAGATGAACACTTTCCCAGCAGTCCTTTGAGAGGCTGGGTAGACTTGGGCTACTGTGTGGGATTCAGTCTTTCCATACACACCTGTGGTTTGCTACAAAAATATACTTTACTTCACATCCTCAATGATGATGAATGCTTCAGATCTTCATGGGGAATTAAGAGCAATAGATAGGCTAAGCGCACTACAGTTTGTACCTGAACAGCTCATTTGCACGATGCCTTTCTCAGTAAACTCTACCCAGGCCATGTGTGGCTGGAGGGCAGATGCATTTTAGTGAGCACTGTGTTCTGACAATCCAGGAGGACAGTTCATCTCCTTAAGCTTTGTAATTATGAATGGGTGTTGTCAGGGTCAGCTGCCCATTGGGAGCCACTTCATTGCCATCATCCTCCAACAATCCTGACACATCTGCATTGGGGATGCTGTCATGGTAGCTGCTGAAGCTGATATTGTCTTCTTTCAGCTCGATGGTCCAAAAGGGAGCATTGAGTTTCCGGTTTTGGTACTCTCTGTACATATACACAGCTCCTACGAATCCCATTAGCAGCACTACCACAATGATGATGACTGTCAAAATGATGATGTTAAACTGGGTCCATGATACATCAGCGAGAGCTGAGGTGCTGTTTTCAGAAGAGCTTACTGAAAAGATAGTCTGCAGGGTTGTGGGGGCAAATGTACTGTTTATAACAGGGGTGGACACTGATGTAGTCAAAGAGGCATTGGAAACCAAAATGGTAGAACCTTCAGGAGTTGGAACAATAACTTCTGAAAATAAAAAAAAACAGAGAATGAAATGTAAAAGACAAAATTATCTAGTTTTGAGAAACAATAAAATAAATACACATGAGAGTGGAAGTTGAGGTGGAATGTTGACATGGTTCTCTGCTTACGGTAATGCAAGTTAAAAATAATTTTTAAATAAATATAATATTAAGATATGGGGTCTGGAAAGCTTACTTATTACATCTAGGTCTGTTCTCCAATATGTATAACACCCATGCTAAAATTTTAGGAAGATTCCAACACAGGAGTTTTGTATCCCTCCTTATTCATTGATAGTCACAGACATTTCTGTAAAGGCAGTAAATATGTTACCACCAAGTTCTAAATCACATGGTAAAATGACAATTATTTGACCTAAAATATATCCAGTAAATCTGATTTCATGAAGGTAAAATTCTCCTCAAAGGAAGTATAAAATATCAAAAAAACAAAAAACAAACAAAAAAAAAAACCCAAAAACCCCAGGGTTCATTTAGCCAAAAGAGAAAAGAGCTTTCCTTTAATTCCACATGTAGAGTTTTCCACTTTCTGTATATTTGAACTATTTTATAATCAAGGAACTACATTTTAGACTTCTACTCAACAGCATAGCTCAATGGGAGGTTGAAACCTTTGGACTAGGTTAGGACTGTATTGCTACAGGTAATTCAATGTCTCAGAATTTTAGATTTTTCAGTTAAACATGAGCGATAATGTCTGCTTCACAGAGTTCTTGGGAAGACTTCAATGAACATTATAGGTACTCAATAAAATCATTATAAATATAACTGTTATTATTCATCACCACAGTCCACTACATCAATTAACCTATAAACAGGAAAAGTTTGTATTCCTTCATGGCTAACAAAAACCATCAGTCTGTCTTCTTGGTACTTGTTGGTCTGGACAAGGTATGCCTCCCACATGGTGGAATGCAGAGTGGCAGCATTTCTAGCTAGTGATGTGGTTCAATCAGAGCACTACAGTTCGAACATCATGACAGAAAGATGCCACAGGCCACAGGTCAACTGTACCTCAGCTTGGTAATCAGTGTGCAATAGAATATCAGGAGTAGTTTGTACAAGAGCAGAGTCTAACCTGTCTGTAGTCTAATAATCCTTAAATATCCCTAGCTTCTTCCAAATTCTTAACCTTTCTAAATCCTCACTGAATCCCTCTACAAGAAACATTCTATGGTATGAATGGCCTTTTCTTTTAAAAGTCAAAGGGAATGGTAATAAGATTCCATATACCACAGACAGAGACATGTCAGCTTAAAGTATGAAGAGGCTAGAATGAACTCTAGTTTCCCAGATGGAACTTCTAAGCAGACCATAAGTCCTTCCCTGAAAAGGCCTTTGATGATCACTGACATGATGCATCAAAAGCAAAGGAAAACAAATGACAGGACCTTTCAGTTATAACAGACAGCTAGAAGAAGGGAAACATGAGCACACTCTGTCTCACTGTTGCATCGACTTATGCCTTATTCTTCATATTTCTAGAGTTGATGCTGTAGTGTCAAGAGATAATCAGGAAGGGAAAGAAACTTCTTTAGGCAAACACCTATCAAAATTTATTTTTAGAAACTCCTCTGGTGGACTGGAAGGTTTACAAAGCTAATGGTAGCTCTCTAGAAACATTCAATGCTGGCATTAGATACTAAATGTGTAATCTTAGGGAGAGTTTTACCTTGCTTGATGCAGTTTCTCTGGAGATCTCGAATATAACCTTCTAGGCAGTTCTCGCACCAGAACCCAGTGGTGTTATGGAGGCAATTGATGCACTCACCACTCTCGGGCTTGCAAATCTTTGGAGTTGTAGTTGGGTCCACATGGCCATGACATTCGCATCGTGTGCAGATACTGTCAGAATTGTAATAGCCATTTTCACATTTATTGCAGTTCTGTCCTGTGTAACCATCTTTACACTGGACACATGTAGGCTCCAATTCACCAGATTCTAAAATAGAAAGAGCATCAAAATAATTTAGTAAACTCTCAAGCTACATTAAAAAATAGTAAATTATATGCCCTCCAATAGTTTTTACAAGTCCTCTGTGGTATCTTCTCTCATTCAATGTTAAGAGATATACAGAAGCAATATTACAGATAGCTTATTAACTTTTTAACATGTTGAAGAAATGATGGGCCTGTCCAAAAAGCACATTAAAGTAGAAGGTAAAAGAATTATGCTTTTACCAGATGTCTCAATAACTTTGATATATTGTCATTTAAGTAGTGTGTGTGTGAGGGGGGTGGGATGTGTGTGTATATATTTATGCACTTGGGCAACAATAATGCATATGTATGCCAGAAGACACCTTTCTAGCTGGAGTCCTTTCCATTCACTATGTGGGTCTGGAGTTTAACCTCACATTGTCAGTTTTGCTGGTCAGTATTTTTACCTACAGAACCACCTCATAGATCCATTCATAATTGTCTTTTATTTTATTTCTCTCTTCTCTGAGGCATGAAAGACTATATAAAATATGGTTTAAGCAAAAACTTTCTCCATCTCTCTCCTCCCTAAGTATTGATACTCCTAGGCTTTTTATTTTGTGTGGTACTAAGTATGAATCTGGGGCCTCTTCCACAGTGTGCAAGGGGTCTCTCTGCCACTGAGCTACCCCCAGGACCATTACTCACTCTTAGACTTCTATGCTTGGTTTCCTTCACCTTTCACTCTATCCATTTCTCCATGGATGAGTTCATTAACTTGTACACTTAACAATGGAAAATATGTATCTCCACTCCATTTTCTTGTCTTAAATTACAAACTGTATATGATATACAAACTGCCTGTATATCTAGGTCTACACACATTTCAAATTTAACATGAATGACTGTCCTCAACATCTTAGTGAATAGTCCCAACATCCATCCACTTGCCTAAGTCCCAAAGTTAAGAACCAACTCCCAGTCCTCCATCTCCTTCCGACTTTTGATCAGTTCATTTCAGTGACACTTTAAAAGATTCCTATACTGGTATTATGCTCCTGGCTAAGGCTGTCATCATTTCTTCCCTCCAGCACTCTCAATACTTCCTAAGGCTCTTTGCTGTAGTATACTCTTACAGTCTCTATGATCTTCGCAGTGAATCTGAATATATATACTAACACCCTAACATCCTAGAGAAGCTGCTTCAATTCTAATGGGCTGCCAGACTAAGTGAAAGCAATAGAATTTTCAACTGAAAATGACCCAAGCACTGCCTACTTTTTCTACCTCTTTTTGTTTCTCTTCACATTTCTTTTTTTTTCTCTTTTTTTTTATTTGAATTAGAAACGAGATTGTTTTACATGTCAATCCCAGTTCCCAGTACTTCCCCTCCTCCCCTACCACCCTTCCCCACTAATACCCTACTTATCACATATTCTTTCTGCTTCCCAGGGAGGGTGAGGCCTTCCACAGGGGGTCATAAGAGTCTATTGTATCCTTTGGGATAGGGCCTAGGCCCATCCCCATGTGTCTTGGCTCAGGGAGTATCCTTGTATGTGGATTGGGCTCCCAAAGTCCACACCTGTGCTAGGGATAAGTACTGAACTACTACAGGAGGTCCCATAGATTTCCGAGGTCGCCTCACTGAAACCCACATTCTGGGGTCTGGATCAGTCCCATGCTGGTATCTCAGCTATCAATCTGGGGACCAAGAGCTCCCTGTTGTTCAGATCAGCTGTTTCTGTGGGTTTCACCAGCTTGGTCTGGACCCCTTTGCCCATGACTCGTTCTTCTCTGCAACTGGATTCCAGTTCAGTTCAGTGATCTCTTCGCATTTCATCATCTACTTTGTTTCAAGCTTAGGATACTCCAAAAGACTGCCTGTTTTCTTCTCTCTGAAATGCTATATATACCATTTTGTCAGCTCACAACATATTCTTGCCTCCTTATCCCTAATCACTTTGCAAATGTAAACTGCAGAAATTAACTCAGGTATCAATTCTCAGAAGCACAAAGGGTTCCTGATTCTAAAGGGGTTAGAGATACTCTAGGCTCGGCTGCATGGCTGGTCTGAAGCTAAGAAGGGGTAGAGGCATACCTACAACCCCTGATTTTCTCATCCTGAGAGTACAGGAGTGTCATGCTCTACCTCCCCTCCCCCAACAGGCCTTCCTAAGTGCAGACATGCCCAGTGCACATAGCAACTGATGAGCTCACAGGTCTCTAAGGCTACAGTGCATGGTAGCTGCTTATCTGACCACTGAAATATCCTGGACTGGACTTCCTATGTGACCTTATAAGGTTCCTTCCCCTGGCCCCTGTTGCCCCTGAGTATGCGTATGACATACCCTCTATGTTCTTGTCCCAACCAATGATAAACCAATGCATGGACCCTCTGGCCATTCCTCCTAGGTAACTGGCCCCTGCCTCCTCCCAATAATCGAGCTGTCCACTAGTAGTCTCCCAGGGGTTCTTACCAGTCGAATTCAAAGCCGCTCAGGAACCGTCTTTGGCCCTGCCCATACTCACCCCTGCCCTGTTTCCCCTGGCTGGGTTGGTTTGTGCTCAAAAATCAGACCATGGGGGTACAATGGGGGTGGGGTGGGTTGGTGGAGGTAAGCTTGGCACTCAGCTATAACACACAATATCTAAGTAGTAATAATTGGATTAGTTGTCTATCTCGACCATTACACTATAAACTACTTGTGTTCCATCTTTACCTTCATATCTTTTCCTAGTGTCTGACACAGTATTTGTTCAATGAATGTTTGCTACTTGCATAATTTCATCTTATATAATGAATCCATTCCAGAAAGAATAATTTACAAGGATCATGAAAGCTGTAGCAATGTACCTCATCTCAGATTCTGTATGAAAAATGAGTTCCATTTGAGAAACAATCCATAATTTGTCATCTACATTGTACAAGTCAAGGGTTTTGAGTATAAGCCACAGAGTTGTATAAGTGATAAACAAATTTAATAGCATTTATAGTCCCAGATGGCTGTGTGGTATCAAGTTAAGCCAATAAACTCAGAACCTTGTTTTTTTATATTTTAAGTAAGCGATTTTAAATCAGAAATTCTTAAATTACTTTGCATAAAACAGTGACAACTGAATGAATTAATAACTCTTGCAACATGATATGTAGGAAAAATACTCAACAAAAGGTTTATACTTCTTGTTTTCAAGAAGCTTATAACTCACAATGGTACCATATTGTAATTTTTTTATGGTTAACAACTATAGCACACAAACTCATTTCAAAAATTCCAGATAAAATAGATTGAAGGGCTGAAATCAAGGCTTGTAAGAGTTTTTCATCTCTCTGATTTCATACCCTGTGGACCTTATGACATGATATTCACATCTGCCTCCTGTTTTACTCCTTCTTGCTTGCACTTTGCTATTGCCACACCTAAGTTCTCTCATCAGTAATTTTAACATTCCTGCTGTGCCTTTGTTCTTGTTTGTTTGTTTGTTTTTAAGAGAGTACCTCACTGTGTAGACCAGGATGGCCTTGAACTTGTGATCCTTCTGACTCTTCCCTACTGCTAGCTGGGATAATGATTTCTTTACCTGAAACATCTTTCCTACCATAGACTTTCTGAGGTTATTACTAAAACTCCCTCACTGGCCTAGAATGTTCCCCTCTGTGCTGGCTAGTTTTATGTGAACTTGCCACACAGTAGAGTTATTTGAAAAAATGGTGCTTCAATTGAGAAAATGCCCCTACTAGATTGGCTATGAAAAAGAAATGTGAGCAAGACAGGAGGAGCAAGCCAGTAAGCAGCACTCCACTATTGCTTCTGCTTCAGTTCTTGCCTCCAGATTCATGTCCTGCTTGAGTTCTTCCCCTGACTTTGCTCAGAGATGGACTGTTACCTGGAATTTTAAGATGAAATAAACCTTCCTCTCCAAGTTGCTTTTGGTAATGGTGTTTTATCACAGTAATAGAATTCCTAACTAAGATGCCCTATTAGTGCATTTACTATATATAGACTGAATCACTACACTGTATATTGTTTGTGCATTAGACAGTGATCTTTTGTCATGGAATATTATTTTAAGATGTGTTACATTAATTTATGCTGTGGAATGTTTGTGTAATGATGCAAAGATATGTTGCATTCTTATATGCGTTACTTTGTCTGCCTAAAACATGTAATTAGTCTAATAGAGAGCTGAACAGCCACTAGTTAGGCAGGAAAAGGGAATAGGAAGGGCTGGCAGGCAGAGAAAATAAATAGAAGGAGAAAATGAGAAGACCGAGGAACAAGAAGAAAGAAGGAGAAGATAACTCTAGGGCCAGCCACTCAGCTACACAGCAAGCCACCCAGCTACACAGCAAGCCATGAAGTAAGAAGAAAGGTATATAGAAAGATAAACCTCAAAGGCAAAAGGTAGATAGGATAATTTCAGTTAAGAAAAGCTGGCTAGAAATATGCCAAGCTAAGGTCAGGCATTCATAAGATAGAATAAGTCTCCCTGTGATTATTTGGGAGCTGGGTGTCAGACAAAAAGTAAAGAGTAAGAAACACCAACTATAATCTCTGAAAGTATCAAACCGAATTCACTTAGAACTTGCTACCCCTACAGGTACATGTGTTGGGGCTCACATGTCATATTCTGAAAATATGCTTTGCCCAGCCACGAGTTCAATGAGCTCAGAACTTCTACTATTGTCTTCTAGATGTTGGCTGATGACCTCTGGATGGATGGCCTGGCCTTGATGTGTGAATGGCTCCTATTTTGTATAACTAAAGACCTGGGCCACCCTAAATGCTAGTGAGACATGCTGGTATGCAATGTCTGAGGGCTAGTGAATATATCTGCTTAGGAGTGTCTCTAGAATTAAGGGAAATATTTGATACCAGCCCTTTATACATGATAATAGATGTCTTCTGCCATTACCCCCACTTTTGGCTTTTGGATGGTTACTTAAGATGATTCTTGAATAAAGTGATGCCTCCAGTATTGACTGGGAGGCCTCCTGATGTGTCCAGATGTCTCTGTCTCATCCTTAGCATTGTTTGATAGCTAGGCCTTCCCTCATCCACACTTCCCCACTCAGGGTCAGACTCAGGGTTGTTCATCTGGTTCTGATCTCAGCCTCAAAGACATGAGTCTGGAATAGATGGCCCCTGTAGTGTGAGGCTAATACAGGCTGGACCCCGGCATACATGCATGCCTAATTGGATTGCTTTCATCACAATTCAGTCTTTGGCTGCGATCAACTATTTCTAAGTGTCCCAGTCCTTATTTTTCAAGGCCCTGTTCAAACATAACTTGTCCCATAAAGACACTTCTGTACTTCCCAGTAGACAATATAAGTCTTGCCAAAGCTCTCCTAACTCCAGTTTTACATACCTAACCATTCTGAATTATGACTATATCCCTTTCTAATTATTCAACATGCATTACTGGCATTACAGTACACAGGGTATTAAATGATTAAATATATAGACATCATCTCTACCCTTGTGGAGCATATAGTGTTTAGAAAAGACATAAGAACAAAAGATTTCAAGCACATTACTTTTCACAGGGATTTTCTTTTTACAGAGAAATTCTACATTTTAAATTCTTCATATGATAGCGAATTCAGTTAAGTTACTCAAACAAGTAAAAAACAACACCTTAAGTAAAGCGCTATGTTAAAAAATGTTACTCATGGGGCTGGAGAGATGGCTCAGTGGTTAGGAGCATTGACTGCTCTTCTAGAGGACCAGAGTTCAATTTCTAGCACCCACATGGCAGGTCACAACAATCTGTAATCCCAAGACCTGACACCTTCACACAGACATGCAGGCAGGCAAGACACCAATGCACATTAAATAAGAATAAATAAATTATTGTTTTAAAATGGATAAATGGTCCCCAGGAATGGAAGTGGCATGAACTCCTGAACTAATTGGGAGCATGAGGGTAGGGGGGAGGGAGCTGCTACAATAAGAGCAAGAGAAGAGGAGTAGAGGAGAGGAAATGGAGGGGCAGAAATATTGAGTTGGGGGAAGAATAGAGGAGAGAGAGCAGGATGAGAGATACCATATCAGAGGGAGTCACTATAGGTCCGAGAAGAGATCTGGAACCAGGGAGATCTCCAGAGACCTACAAGGATAACACGATCTGACAATCCAGGCAATGGTGGAGAGGATAACTTAAAAGCCCTTCCCCTAAAATGAGATTGATGACT